TTAGAAATTTCCTATTATCATCCTCAAAATATTTCCCTTGCAAAACATGTTTTCTTATGAACAGAGAGCAATCATATCTCTATTCTTAGGCCAAAATTCCAGGTTAATCATGTTAATAACATGACAGCAACGGTAAAGAAGAAACCTGTCCATTTAGATGGTAGAATTCTTAGACTCAGTCTGCAATAGTGCCAGGCTCATAGTAGGTGACCAATAAATGATATATGTTCCAAGCTAATACTTATAAGTGAAAGGGTGAGGGCTATGCCCTCCATCTTGCTCTGTATCCTCCATGTTGGGGCAGCAGCCATGTGCTCAGGAAAGTACCTTCTTCCCGGAAGCCCAAGCCTCTGCTAGCCACGCCCAGGATTTCTTTAAACTAACCAATGACAGTCAAGGGACGTGCGCGCCATAGATATGACCACATCCTGTGTAACAAGACCCAACTTGCACCTGGCCAATCGGCAGGGCCCACGGTCATCTCTCCTCCCCTCACTCCACCCCCCTATTAAAAACCCCTTTTTCCCAGGGGCTGGCACTGTCGTCTCGCCGCTGTGTCGGTGGAGGCTGGAAGCCAAACCCGGGTTTGATAATAAAAGACTCTCTGCTTTTGCATCGGACTCGGCTGGCTCCCTGGTGTGGTCTATTGGGGATCTTGAAATCTGGGCATAACAATAAGATTTACCCAGTTTTCATAGAGTGATTCTTTCAGGAGTTGTTAATTGAAGAAATTTAGTACCCTTTGAACTTCACATTGAATTCAGTTGTTTCTTTAACAGAGTAAGATGTTTCTTTGGAATATTATTAAAAATTCATCTGTATTTTAAATATTTAAGCAATGGAAATTCTGTTAATTAGATAACTTCTGTAAATTTATGAATTAGTAAAAATTTGCTCATATCTATGTTTAATCCTGGTAATCACAGGTAGCTATAGGAAAAGTATTTTTAGCAGTGATGGACCATATTCATTTTTATTTTATTTAAAAATATATTCGTATTGATTTCAGAAAGGAAGGGAGAGACAGATAGAAACATCAATGATGAGATGGAATCATTGATTGGTTGCCTCCTGCACACCACCTACTAGGGATCGAGTCCACAACCCAGATATGTGCCCTGATCGGAATCAAACCCGGGACCCTTCAGTCTGCAGGTCGACACTCTTATCTACTGAGCCAAATCAACTGGGACCATTTTTATTTTTCAGTATTGACCTATTCAAGTACAAAACTGTTGTTCTGGAATTATGAGTCTTATAGCCTGAGGTTATTTTTCTGTGACTTAGCAAGGATTCAAGTACCTTAGGAAAATTCTCTTTGTTCACATTTGAGTATTTGACTTTAGGCTTTCGCTGATCACCATAGCAGTAATCGCTTTACTGAAGAAATAAATAAGTGATAAATTGAGACAACTATTCTTCCAAATTACTTTATCAACCCATGAAAGTATATCTTATAAAAAGTGGAGGATGTCATTTGGAGGTGAGCAAGAATAGAAGGAAGAAACAGGCCAAAAGAGAAACGAAAAAGAAAAGTCATTTAAAGTATACATCCTTGACTTAAATATTAACAAATAGGGTGTAATATATCCATTAAAATATTGTCTCTGTTTTCTTTCAGACTGAGCATCACTCAGTATTTACAGCTAATGTTTATACCTGTAGTATGAACACTTCCAGCAACTTTGTAGGTTCTATGTGCCTTACAAGCCCTTAATGTAATTGATTTCAGTTAATCAGCACATGAAGTCTAGAAGGGAAACCTTGTTATACTTATTTTCCAGATGAGTAAGCAGTCTCAGAAAGTTTAAGGAACATGCTGAAGGCTACAGAACTAGTAGATGGCAGTGTTAGAATGAAAACTCACACCCTGACCACTTTGTGATGTGGCCTTCCTCCATCAAAAATCAAGCAGCTATTTTAAATATTTGATTTTCTATTGTTTTGAACTTATTTTGCATAGTTTTGGTAACACAATTCCCTATGCTAGAATACTAAGCAAAAATATAAAAACCAAGCAAAAAGCTACATGATGTGGCTAAATAATGATACCCTACAGGATGATAGGAGTGCTTCATTTTTTCAATACATGAAAAGATATTTTAACCATGAATATCATTCCAACAATTTAAAAATCATCAAACATCCTTAAAAAGGCCATGATCATTTGCATTACAGGAGCAGGAAATTTGAAACTGAGCCTCTAAGGTAAGAATGTAAATACCAGGTATACCGGTTAATAATGCGGGTTTTTTTCAGTAGATGGAATTACACATATGTTGATATATATGCGATTTGATATGTATGCTATTTTGTTATATTGACAACAAGCTTCAAAACTTCATATGTCAAGTTTTCTGAAGGTGTTAACATCATAGATATTTTTATGCTTAAAAATGTCAAATTTCGTGCCAAAAAAAGAGCATTTGTGGGAAGTTTTAATTCATTACTTTATTTTGAAGAAAAGTGCTGCTGAAAGTTATCGTATACTTCGGGAAGCTTATGGTGAACATGCTCCATCTCAAGATATTTGTGAATGCTGGTTTAAACGCTTTAAAAGTGATGATTTCGATGTGAAAGACAAAGAACGTCCAGGTCAATTTGAACCATGCTTTGATTGTAAAATGACCAGAATGGGCCAGAAGACACGGCAAAGTAATTTTGCTTCATGATAATGCACCATCACACACTTCAAAACCAGTTAAAGACACGTTAAAAGATCTTGCCTGGGAAGTATTAACCCATCCGCCGTATTCACCAGACCTTGCTCCTTCAGATTACCACTTGTTCCGATCATGGTACATGCACTTTCTGAGCAGCATTTCAAAACATACGAAGAAGTGGAAAATTGGGTCTCTGAATGGTTTGCCTCAAAACAAGAAAAGTTCTATTGGGATGGTATCCACAAATTACCTAAAAGATGGGGGAAATGTGTAGCTGGTAATGGACACTACTTTGAATAAAGCACTTTTGATGTTTCTCTTGAAATTATCGTGTTTTCTTTCATAACAAAATCCGCATTATTAACTGGTACACCTGGTAAACAATGCAATTATTATTGCTCCGACATTGTCAATTCATGACCTGTAGACAGAGAAATAAAATGGAAATTGATAGGCATCAGAGTAGCCAATGTATTTCCTTGCTGTGACTTAGTGACCTTTCTAAGCAAGTCTCTGAACTGGTTTTATTCTCCTTAATAACCTCCTGACAGAAGCTAGCCATTTTCCTGACAGGTTTAAAGCCTTGGTTGTTTGTTTGTTTGTTTGGTACTAGTGACTTTTGTAAGGTTATGCCACAATCCTGAACACTGGTTGGTATTTTTCTTCATGCCTCTGGGTTTAAAAATTTCCATTCTTGTTCTACTTTCTATCTTCTTCTGAGTCAAATCCTGGCCTCCACTAAGGTTTATTTAATCTCCATCCTGTATATAATCCAAGGTTAGTAGAAACAATTGTCATTTGAAAAGCCTCCTTAATTTTGACCACCCCTGAAGAGAGAGGAAAGGAGGTCCTTCTGTTTTATTTTGGGGCGGTGTGAGGTGGAGAACTGATGTAAACACGAGTTATTTATAAGAAACTCAAAGGAAATGTGCCTGGTTCTAGACCAGAGCCACTTAAAATTTTCCTTGTAAGTGTTTTTGAAGTCTGGTCATAAATAATTATTGGAAACTAAGTTTCATATAATGCTCAAGACTGTACTTGACCTTTATCAAATCTTTTGGGAATTTCTTTCCTCTACCATAAATGTCTAATAATTTTTCAGTGAAAAGGTCAGGTGAATTGAAGATTCTCACGCAATCGATTCTTAAGCATTGACATTTGTTTTTGTATTTGGACAAATGTTCATGCTGGACTTTGACTCACTGAGATATTTGAGTAATCGATCCTTTCAGCTGCTGCACACCAGAGAAATATTCTTCCTCTTCCAGAAGAGAAGATGTAAGCCACAGATATAAAGCTGCACCTAAGCGCACCTCTGATGTTGCTGTCAAAACTCAAAACAATACATTTGTCAGGTACCATAAAAGTTTAACCTTACCGGCTGACTAAAAACATTCAAACATCTTGGAATCATAATATATTTATAGCACACAGTGGAAAAGCATGTTTTACCTGGATGTTTAAACTGTCTCAGCCAGAGTATAAATAAAATTCTGCAGGCATTGGGAATTTCGGTGAGACTGGGCAAAGTGATGAGAAGAACCAAGCCGACTTTCATCCAGTGGTTCCTGCTCATGTCTCATACATTGGCCATTGTTCTAATGTGTTGACCACAAATCAGAAACAATGTCCCATCTCTGTAGAGTGTCTCCCTCAAGTTGGGAAACACAGATGTCACTGAAATTTGAATTTTATATAATGTTAATGTATATTGTTCTTTTGATTTTTTTCAACTATTAAAAAAGGACACCATGGGCCAGATTTGACTCTCTGGCCATGATTTGCCAACTGAAATCAAATTGGCCATTGACTCATGTGAAGTTGACTATATTTTATACTACTTGAGTTACAGCATCTATAAATTTTATTGCATTCTTTTGTCTTTAATTGAAGTGACTAGCGCATTGCCCGAAAATGGGAAGGTATAGTAAATAAATGAATGAATGAGTAAATGATTACATGAACTATATCCATCCAATCGAATTTCCCAAGAAATGATGTGTGTCTTCTCAACTGATAAATGCTCATCACTTGAGTGGAGATCATTGGCAAAATATCACCAGTTTTTTACTTACCATGTTTATTTGACAAATATGGTTTGTGGGTACAGAGATAGTCAAAGGAACCAAGAGGAAAGATATTCTTATCTAGGGCATGGACAGGTCTCAGGACATTCGTGTTGTTCTCAACTTTTTAGACAAATAAAATTTTCTTTCAAAAAATGGTGGAAATGACATATCCATGAACCTTTCTTGGTGGAGACTGTTTGCTGGCCCTTGAGCAACTACATCTGCTACATGCCACTTCTTTGTTTTTGTTTTTTCCCTCTGTGTTTAGCTAGAGAGATTGCAGGTGGAAAATACAGTGGAATGGGACCAGAGGGAAATATTTGAAACTGAAAAACAAGGACTGGATAGAGAAAATAGAAGGCTAAAGGTCCAGGTGAAAGAAATGGATGAACTCCTCAAGAGGAAAGATAGATTAAGTGCAAACTCCCAAGATCCTGATTTCAAGACATCACAAATTGAACTGCAGGAGACAAACAAGGTACGGTGGTGCTCCTGGGAGACGGGTGTTCTCACTCACTGTGTGTGCCTCTGAGGTCAGGGTGGAAGCCACCTTAATTTGTACACACCTCCAATCGGAATATTTCCTTTTGTGCAATCTGATCGTTTGCTCTTTTTCTTACTGTGATTTAAAATAATGTTGTTCATGCTTGTGACAAATTTCCTATGAGAATGTCAGAATATGACAAATCTGAGAGTTTCAGGCTTTTCTGTAAGAAACAAAAAAGTGAAAGCAGAGATGGATCTTTGCAAATTTGGTTTCCTGTTACAGCTTCTTGTCAGTGTTTTCTAAACAATTGATCGTATTTTAAATAAGCATATTTCTCCATGAGTTTGAGTAACTATGCAATAAGCATTCCTCAGTAGCTATGGTTAAGTACTGTGTCTGAGTAAATATTTAGATTTAGCTAAAGCTCACTCTTCTCTGCTTCCTTTTTAGTTAGCCCGAGGAAATTATTTTTGTGTCAATTAAATGTCATGGTGCAAATTGTTTTTATAGGTTATGACATAAATGTTAAAACTAGATTAAATCCAAAATTTGACTTCAGGAAACAGGTTGTTTTGGAATTGTTTTGTCCTAAAGCCAATAGACATAGTCACTGCCATGATGAGATTTTTTGATAAGTAGTTTTAAAATTTTTAAAAAATATTCTCTTGCAGTTGCAAATTATGTGTTTTAGTGTCAATTTGCTGCAAAACACATACATTCTGTTTCTATTTCTTCTCTTAAAGCATCTATAGCATCTTAATGCACAATTATATTTTTTCACTCAATGCCTTTAATAGCAAGTTAAAAACATATCTGATAAGTTCATGCTTTTGAGTTATATAAGTTTTTCATACTCATATGAGCTCTGAAAGCTACATTTCCTATCACTTTTCCTTATTCTCTGTTATTCTAGGAGTTTATTGCAAATGCAAATTAAATTGCATTAGTGTTTCATGACTTGGCAATGCAAATATCTAAAGTTAAATGTTATAGTAAGTGATCCTAATTTTCTCATGTGGATTCATAAACCATTCATAGTGTTGTGTTTGATTCTGGGAGATATATATATATATATATATATATATATATATATATATAAAATAATATATAGATACATTTTTGCAGATTTCTACTTGTGGAAGCACAGAGTTATTTCAGTTATGGAACAGGTTTTAATCACCAAAATAATTGTTTCCCTTTGACTCACTTGAACAGAACAAGCATTTATTTATGTTACTAGAGGCTGGGTGCATGAATTCATGCATGTGTGGGGTTCGGCTGGCTTGCCCCAATCAGGCTGATTGGGCTGGGCTGGGCGGGGTGGGGAGGGGTAGACTCGGAAGGTTGGTGGGCCGGCCCCAGCCCCTGGTCGAACTCCGGTCAAACTCCTGGTCGAAGGGACAATTTGCATATTACCCTTTTATTATATAGGATACTCTGTGTCAGTCACAGCTCTAGATGCTGGTGATGGGAAGGCTAGCAAACCATTCTCCCTGCGCAGCATGTGTACAGGAAGATATATTGTAAATATCTGTACAGGAAGATATACTTGTAAATAATATCAATAGTACATTGTGATTGCTAAGTATAAAGTGGAGTAGAAACACCAATGAAGTGATTTATTCTATTTAATTTTGATGCCTTTCTTATATCAAAATGTTATAACAATAATGTATGTCCATTAGGGACCTGTCTGGAGCTGGTACACATGCCAATTGTCCTATTCCATCCAGAGGGTCCACTGAGTTCAGACCTGGGCTCTTTGGGACCCATGTAGTTCTTCAGCCTAGAACTAGACAGAACTTGAACATGGAAGATTCTGAAAGGTCTGACAGGACCAGGGGTGTGCTCATCAGATACAGATTATTCCTTAAGTATATGTCTTTTTGATGGCAGAGAGGGGGTATTAGTGATTTTTACCCTCTTCATTAAGAATTTAGACTCATTCCTTGAACAAAAATAATTATGAATAATTACAAATGAATCAAAGCTGCATATAGAACATGCCAGTCCAGAGAATAGTGGAGATGTTATAACAAGGCCATATTGTAATTTCAACATTATTTCAATAAAAACTCATCTCTATGTACATGAAATACTATTGTATAGGAGTAACATGTATACACAGAACTACTATATTTCTGTATGCATATAAGTACTATTTATTATGATTAAGACAGTGGAAATAAGTGCTGACATGTATGAGACACCACCATAAGCACCACTTATCATTAGTCTCTAAGAGACATAAGGTATCTTACCACTTAATATTTACATCTAATCACATTTGACAAGTGATTGTGGCAGACACAAATCTACATAGAAATATCCAAATCATAGAAATCCCCATATCAACACACTTCGTTAATTTCTTGAATTTTGAGAATCTCATTGTTTAGTGGAAGTTTTATAAATCCTTATACAGGAGGGGAAGACTTTCACATATTGTTGCTTTTTTTTTGGCTTTTGTGTAATAGGGAATACATTTTAAAGAAAATGCCTTTCAATTTTAAATCACACTGTGAATTGAAAGACAAAGATTCCCTTTTCCAAGTGAAAAGTTATTGGAAAAAGTTGTCGGTATTCTATGGGGTAAAGCCCTGTGAACTAGTCAACGTGTCTCTCATGAAATGCTCTGGAAACTTGTTTTCTTAAATCATTCTGGCAACCGAATCCATTCATTCAGGTCACATACAGGGTCATTTTCAGAAAGTTATTGTGACAGAATGGTAACTGATACATCTTGGGAAGATGATGAATTAATCTGAAAGTGGAAAGGCCACCAAAGTCAGTTCTTAATGAATTTGCTTTACTGTCAGGCAATGACATTATATTGAATTTCTAACTAGTACTATATGAGGAATGCCTCATTCATACTTCTTATTAAATTTGTCCTATTCACTTGTTGTTTATTAGTTTGTAATACATTTAATGAAAAAACTATTTTAGTCTGTTTTTTAGCTTTAATAGTTGTAAAGGAAGTATGAATGAAGCATTATTTTCAATATGAGGTGAAAGGACTATTAGTTTTTTTCTGTAGTGTAGGCAATACAAGTTTTCAAATGCTGCAGTCTATCTCATCACTTACTTTATGTATGCTTGCAACATATAATTTATGAAGAACAAAAATAGACTATTAGGATATAATTTTATAAGAGGTGCAAGGTATCTCATCTATTACAGGCTTAAGAAAATTTATTTAAAGTCAGGTGGTATCTACCCTTTCATTTGTCTATTGATTTGTTCAACAAATATTTTCTGAATACTGGGTCCATCAGAGTTTGGTTATAGGTATTAGAAAATAGATAAATAACAGAAAGGATTGGGGGAGAAGACTGTACATAGACTGTACAGGAGTGACTCCTGGTGGACTACCATGGACTAACTAAAGAATGGGTTCCCTGTGGCAGGTATCAGGAAGCTATGGGGATCGCTTGCTCCTGTTCCATCCACTGCTTCTATGACCACTATACCTTAGCTACAAGCTGGGGAAAAGAAAGTCCCCCACAGGACAGGGCCTGCTGACTCCATACTCTTTATTGCCTCTCTTCCTACTGGAACCAACTCCAAACCCAGGCCTTGCCTGAGAGCATCTTGTTTGCATAATCTCAATCTTATTTGGAGATCTGGAGATTAAGGAAAATGAAGATGCTTATCCTTCCAAGAGGGGAAACTAGAAGAAATATGGAATAAATGTTGATAGTCAATTGACTGTATGTTTCAGATGTACACTGTGTATATGGGGGATACTAGGTGTCAAGACACACAGTGTAATAGCTGTCATTGTAAAGCCTGCAGGCAAATCAAATCATCGACAATCTATGATGGAAGCTCTGTTAAATGTTGAAAATTAGTAGACTCATGTCATTGCTTTTTCTTGAGAAATGAAAATTCAGATTGAAATCAGAAAGATGAATAGATGTAGTTATCTGGAAAGAGTAATCTAAGAGCATTCCACAGCAAGTGAGGGCAAGGGCTTGCTGCTTCTCATGAAATTTGTATCTCTTTCCGGAAAGCAAGTTTCTCAAAAACCATGAATTTTCTTTTCTTTGAGGTAATTTTAAGTGTCTCAGGGGTGGGTGAAGATTAGTGGCTCTGGGATACAGATACTCAGAAGAAAGCTGAGGTTCTGAGATGCCACAATTTGTGTCTGCTGGCTCACAAGTGCCTGGTTGGTGATATAATTCTAAGGAAGGGTTTGACGACTGCTGGTGAGACTAGGGAGGAGACATGCTCAGCAAAAGTTCACGTGCTGTGGAAATGGTAGTGAAAGCAGAGAAAAAGAGGCATGGATCTCCCAAGTTAACCTACTAACTACTCCTCTCTAAGGATCTGGTGTTTATACCTAGGTGGTGTAGCTAAGGGAAATGTCATTATGGGAACCATGCCGGGGTCCCTGGATAGTCAAGGCAACTCATAGTATGGAAGGCCTTGTTGATAGTACACTGGATGGCCAAGGCCACTCTGAGCATGGGAAGCTTAATCAGAATGTCCAAAGCTAAGATACCATATACAGGTGCAAGGACAACAATCTCACAGTACACTGTGCACCCGTGCCTTTCTGTAGCCAAAATGATTGATGTAACTATTGGCAAGACACCTCTTTTGTAACTAAGGGTAGAGAGATCAGACGAAGCTGAGAGCTGGTACTGCTATGATGTAAGGCTAAGAGCTTGTAGAGAGCTCAGATGTAGCACCATGTGAAGCTGGTATGCTAGAGAGGAGAGAGGCTGGGAAAGGCAGGAGAAGCTGCTGAGGTTAGTGAGCTCAGGCGCCGCTGCTATGTGAGGCAGTGGGTGTAGAGGCAGCACGCAGCTGCTCAGATAATAGCTGTAGGTACAGAGGCTGCTACTGCTTTGTGGGAAAGATGTATTTGTTAACCAGCTGGTATGTGGCTGCCTGTATGTGACTGTTGTGAAGAACTATTTTGTTGATGGCTTCTTGTTAGCAATGGCTACAGGGCCACTGGATCCTACAATAAAGACTCATTC